AGAAAAATACTTTGGTTGGGTCGGAAGGGCAAGTCTGCAGAATTAATGAACTGCTGCCAGACAACAAGAAGTACAGAACTGTGCCCTGACCTGGATAGCCCAGGCAAGCCCGATCTCGTCAGATCTCAGAAGCTAAGCAGGGTTGACTGTGGTTAGTACTTGGATGGGAGACCTCCTTGGAATACCAAGTTGGGAGGAGTCAAGGACAGAGGCAGGCTTTATTTAGCCAACTCCCTGAATATCCTCCAGTAGGGGTCAGTCACCAGAGGTCAACGTGACTTCCAGGTGCAGGCACACACATACAATACCAAAATATACGAAAAAAAAAGTAGGCAAGTTTCTATACGTAGCGATGACAACAAGAGCTGATACCGCAACAGCTATAAGTATATTATCTCGTCGGGTTAACACACCCACCACAAAGGACTGGACTGAAGTTAGAAGGCTGATGAGGCACTTTAAAGGGCGCTGCACATTTCAAACTAAGACTGCCAGCTCCTATCAATCCCACACTATTTGGATATGCTGATGCAGACTGGGCTGGAGAAAAATCAGACCTAAGAGTCATTAGTGGTTATGTATTTTTCTGTGCTGGTGGTGCTATAAATTGGGCAGGTCATCAACAAGGCATTGCTGCCCGCTCATCAGCTGAAGTGGGATCGGTATCAGCTTTGGAAGAATGCAGGGAGTGAGCATGGCTTATGATACTGGAGGATTTTGATGTTCAAGACCCGTTGCCAGTTCAAATACTAGAGGACAGCCAGAGTTGTATAGCCCTCTCTCTTTCAGAAAAGAACAGTGCACGGACAAAACCATTGTGAACCTCCGCGTCCTTCAGAGTCAAGAGGGAGTGTTGGAGTAAGGCGACTCAGCAGGCCGGGAGGCATTATGGGATGCCTCTCTTTGCCTTAACCTGGGAGTTTCTCTCTGACTCCTCCTCCTTTTCCTGTGTCCTTTGGCTCTCGCCTCATGGCTCTGCAAGGAGCCAGACACATCTCCAGGTCTCTCCTGTACAAACCGTGCAATCTTCCCTGCGCACACGTGCCACCAGAGTAGCTGGCCATCTGTGATAGGGATTCTTTAGATTAGGCTTCGCTCTCTCCTTTCGACTGTAATATGAATGTGAATAGAATCTACCTCAATAAAATGTTTACCTTTTTGCGAAACGCTTGTTTGGAATTTATTTACTGCATGCAATACCACCCTTTTACAACTATGCATCTCTGCTATATTAACTAACACATATCCCCAACACAGTGCGCAATGCTCCTGGCCATACGGTAATGACTGGCTGAGTG